AAAAAAAAAGCAAGTCCATAATAGAAACTATTGAGACAGTCATCATCATACAACTGTCTTCAATATTCAAAAAGCCTTATAAAGCTATATGCCACCTAAATTAAAACCCATAATTATCAAATAAGCTAATTTCAATGCTATATTTTCTCAAAGACCTCTTTTGAATTCAAAAGCTGATTAAGTACAAACTTCAAAATCACTACTCTAAACGCGTCTAGCTGCTATTTCTGACGACAAAGTGCTCGTTTTGACATAAATTTGCCTTTGAATTTAACGGTAACGCCAAATTGTTTCTGTCAGATTTGTTAGCTAACAAAAATTAGAATTGGTCTCATACTAAAAGACTTTTATTTTCTACGTTTCAGTCTCATAAATAGCACAAAGAATTGATTTAAGCGTAAATTTTTCATCCTTCCACTTCAGTTCATTTGAAATTTTTTTGATGAGTAGCTCATACAACAAAACTGATACTGTTTAAATGAAAACAGTAAACTTGAACTATACCGTCAAGAGAATCAAAGTGTTTAACAGCTCCAGCAAAGAAATTCGGTAGAACAGCTTCCAAAGCAGCAATAAATTCTCTCATTTTTTCGCTGACACCGACAAGCAAGTAATGCTGTATAAGATTTTTTTTTGCCATTTCTAAAGCATCCTCATTCCCCGGTTCACTAAATAAATAAAATAAAATGAAACGAAACAAAAGAGGAAAAAAAAACTGGAATTGCAGAAATAAAAAAATTACCTGCAAAAAAATGATGTACCACAAAAGTAAGGAATTTGAACCCACATTTGCTTCATATCACAATCTTTTCCCTTACGTTCAACACATTCATCAAAAGTCTGAATAAACGCAAAAAAAATTAACAAAAAATACTGCAAATAAAATTTTGTCTTTAAATGTCAAGAATTTATGCGGAAATTACAAACTACAACCTATTTCTGAAAACAATGTGCACGCTAATCAGTTTATTCAATTGCTGCTATGTTAATCGCTTAAAGATAATGCAAAAAAAAGGAATTCAAGAAGGCGGAAAAAAAGCAGGAAATTATTTAGAATTCAGGACAAATAAAGAGAAACTGTATGAAATAAATTAATGATCTTTCAAATAAAATTTTCCAATTACTATAATAACAGCAAAAACAACAACAACAAAACCTCATTATTTCCTGCTCTGCTTCGTTTTAGTCCAACTCTATAATCGTCGCCATATCGCAAAAAATAATAATGAGATAGCAAACGTTCAAATGGTTCCCGTATTAAATTAATGTATATCGGATTTGGCTTACCAAACCTGACGTAAGTAATAATGTCAATGTCATATTCACATAATGTCACCAAAAAACAATAGAAAAAAATTTCAGATTTGTACATACTTGAAAATCTTTTAAATAGAAGCTTTTAAGCTCTTTAGCAGCTTCAAGAGAAAAAAAAAATCAACGGGAAATTAGTTGCTATAAACATTCAAATGATTTAGGATGCAAGAAAAAAAAAGTAAATAAACTGTATGATTTGATAACTGACAACGTAAAGTCGATGAATGCAGCATGGCCATGATAAATAGCTGGTAATCGTTGTCCCCAAGTTGTAACATTTTCCACAAATCGACGTTGATCAGCTAGATTCATTATGTAGCGGTTTCGAGTAATGTTTAGATGTAGTACAGAAAAGTTATTTACTTTACATAAATCATACATCACAGCATTCACCAAAGTTGTTGAGCCAGTTTTGGGCACCTAAATGACAACGATATGTTCACTATATGTAACAGCCATAATAGAAACCAAGAGTTTCAAGTAATAATGCCTGACAATTAATCACCCGATTATAGATTATGATATGTGAGGATGTTGATAGAGAAAAAAGATTCTGCAAATGTTTTTGTCCATTTGTTTGGTCCAATGTCATTAAACGTATATTGACGTACAAAAATAGCAGTATGATTAAAATTATGTTAATGAACATCCACTGAATCCGTGTAACCATCTGAAAAAAAAAAATCAAAACGCACAAAAACATAAATAACGTAAAAAATAATTGCTCAAAATATATAGGAACTGCTAAGCTATTGCAAAAGCTAGGAACTGATTCCAAATAATAAGTGGCAAGAAGCAGTTCAATTTTTCAGAGGTAAAATTAGACTCGAAGATCAGTGAAAAATGAACTATGAGACAGCTTATGTCAAAAGTACTCACCTTCACCTACGTAATACGTAAACATCCAACAAACACCCAAAACATTTGTTTACAAATAGTCATAAATTCTGCATTATCCAACTGATTTTCAGATGGTGACAGAACACCGTTCGATAGCCTTCCTTCGTCCAATAAATTTTTTCATTAGACCGCCTAAAAGATTTTCACGATAAGCTACGAAAATAAACTTCCATTAAGGTGTCATAACAAACGATCATATCATAAGGACAAAACGACAAGTGAACACTACAATCTATGCCAAATTTGAAATTGAGATAAAATTCTCTTGAGACTGGTATTACTCGATAAACTAAACATTCCCAGAATTCCATGCTGCATTCATTTAATATCAAGTCATGTAGCGTGCAAACTAGCACCATGTGAAGTGAAAATAGAGTAAGCAGGTTCTGAAAAATCAATTTTTATATCAGCTTTTAATATTTAATTTATAGAAAACATCGTCCACAGGTCAATCAACACCAAAAATACACGGTTTATGCTTTATCTTATGTGAAAGCAGCAATTTGCTTCCAAAACAGTATTCCAGTTGCTGAGTTTTATGTACTAACGCGTAAAGTCTATGACAAATAATTCTTCAAGCAGTATTAGTTGCTATAAACTGTTAAATTAGAGAAAAGTGGCAGTTACTGATGTCATATACATAACCTTCTAGAAAATATTTAAGCAAACTAGAAACGATGAGAAATATGATGTACCAACACAAGAGATCAACACAGAATCACTTTAAAAATTCACCAAAAGTTTGAAAATGGTTGAAAAAATCAATGCACCAAATCAGTACTGAGATGCAGTTTGTAGCAGAAACCAGAATCAAAAAAGTTCAGTTTTCTTTTTTTAAATTGTAATAGCGAATGATGTAAACAAAAATGTTTTGAAACAAATAAAAGAAAGAATTCCACTGAGAACACGAAAAAAAAGCTTTTGCACTTTATTCAGTATCTTTTCTCGTGCACATTTTTCTATATTTAAGGAAAATTTATCCTACAGCTTTCTTCTACTATTCAAATAACATTATACTACCTTTTCAAGCTTAAATTCTGCTAAAGTTTCAAAATTTAATATCAAGAGAACTTCGAACATTGTCACGTACAAGCTGAATGGTACAATTACATAATGTCATAAAAAAATCGAGACAAAATCGGGACGAGTCACCTTTTGCTGCTCTGTTGTCGATTAAATCCATCCAAAACGATCTGCTAATTTTCATTGTTTAACGGATAATAACTCACTCTCATTCAAAATTAGCCAAAAAAACTGAAAAGAACTGGAAAAAACTGAAAAACCAGCACAACGCTGAACAGCGATATCAAGTTTAGCATTCCACAAACTTTGAAGTCACTGAAATTGGTAATCAAATAGTTGTCAAGAACAGTCTTTACACGCTCTGAACCATGCAACTTCTTCCCAAAATTACGCTGCTAAAAAATTCTGAAGTAATAATAATTAGTAGAGAAGTCTTGCGAAGTAAGGTAAACAGAGCAAAATATCATGCTCAAGCTTTTCATTTCTAGCAATAGTTTTTCAAATATGAAGTTTGACACTGCCGAGCAGAGACAATAATTTCTTTCTTTATTTAAGACTAAACCAGAAAACAAATTTCTACTCATACCCTCCATTTTTGCATGATGCTCCTCTACAGTATTATTCTAGTAAGCATTCAGAAAGCCTACAGGAACTACTCTAGAACAATTCCATCAAGCTACCATTTACTCTAGCACGACAAAGGCCCAGCTCTGACATCTAAACAACTCTTGTTTTCCACCCCTGTTCCGACAATAATATAGCATCCATCTTTCATTAAGGGGCAAGAATCCTGCTTAAAAAAAAAAAAACCGGTTTTGACTTTGTGTTCTTACAAAGTATTCATCACACCGAATTTTTTTCTTTTCTTCTGCATATTGTTTAGTGTCTAATGACTGGTGAATGTAACGTCCCAATTTCCAAAGTCAAACCAAAATCAGTAGCTGCGGAATCAGCCTCAACAACTACCTTTAATTTGTGACTGTCAAAGTGCTACAGTCTACTAAGTAGATGCTTACTTTCTAACGACTCACCGTCCTTCACAGAACTTCCCAAACCACTGCTGTACGATCGATTCTTTTACAATAAACTCTCTCAAATAATCCACTGATTTCTCGACGAACCAATACCAGCTAATTCTTTGACCCACAAGAATAGAATTCTTTAAAAAATTGCTTTTTTGAGCTTTAAAAAAAATTTTTTTTGAAAACCCATTTGAAAATAGAGAATAAAATAGAACTGTATATTTGAACCTGGAATTATAAAGCAAATACAGTTCTATATTTCAGACAAGCATAAAAAAAGCAATTCCGCGCACAACTATAAAATTTGTCTAAAAATCATTTTTATTCGCCAACCAACGATAGTCTTTCTATAAATCTTTTTTTTGTTGTTGTTACATCGAATAACAAGAAACAGAAACACATTTTAAGGACAATATGTAAAAGCAGAATCCTTACCGTACCATAATTACTATTTTTCTTCAATTTTTTTAAACCTTTTTTTAGTCAATTGTAAGAATTGATACGTAAATGCCAAAAAAGATAACTTAAATTATTGCCAAAATGATAAACTGTATACTTCTGCAAGTAATCCTTACCTGGTGTCTTCGCTGGCGGCAGTCGAAGATTGAAACACATAAAAGTTGCATAAACCTGAAGGAGAAACGCCTGTTTCGTGAATAAGATTTTTTTGTAGAGAAGAACCTAGTTTTAATTGTCATTATAATTCCTATAACGTTCTAAATATTGCAGAATAAAGAAAAGAACGTCTAGGAATACTTCAAAAGAAAGAATAGGTCTTTTAAAACTTCTAAACGTTATTGAAGTTCACAGAGATAAAAGCTGCAGACTATCGACTTATACGCTTAAAGTCCGTTTGAACAGCAGAAGCCAATTTACAGCACACTTTTCCAACTTTTTCTTCCAAAAACTTTTATTTTGCTAAAACTCATTAATTTATTATGAGTAGTCAGAGAACAAAAAGGCACTAGATTTAACTGCAAGTTAAATTTAACAAATATCATCCTTAACTTCAGCATTTAAGTTGCAATAAGAGCATTAGAAAAAAAAAACAAAGCCACTGGGAATTTCACGTCATTCCATATCAAATTGCCGAGTTCTTTATTCATCTTCTTAGATTTTTTAGTAGTCGGCACAGTTCGATCCAGAAATG